TAGCGTGCGTTGTTTAAGTGTTCCCTTTATTTTTTTTTTGAGCAGTAGTGTTCCCTTTTTTTGAGCAGTGTATTTAAGTTACGCGGTTGTCTTTTTCTTCGTGGTGCAGCGATACATGGATCGCAAGTTCAATCTTTAAAACAAAACAAAAGAAAAAAAAGGTGAAATTCCTGTTCTCGTACATCCTGCACTAAGAACAACTGCATACCGGTGACACATTGGTGACACATACACACACAAAGCGGTGTGATGAACAGGATTATTCAGGCTTGAATTTAAACTGAAAGAATCCCTGTCTACAAGCGCCACGGAGCAAATCTGGCTTTAGAAACTTTCCTCATCACAGAGCATTCGAGCACAATAGGAGGCCGAACTCCAAATCCTGCAGCTAGAAACATGTTTATTTTCAAAAGAAGCAGGAGAACGTTTGCAGAGGGGAAGCTCATTACCAACATCTGCATGGGAGCTAAAGATACAAGACACTTACAAAAAATTTTTTAAAAAACATGCCTGCTTTGTATCTGGGAATACTGAGTTGAATGTATATACTACATATGCAGGAATGTTCATATATACTACATATGCAGGAATGTTCACTGAAAAGTGTAAATGTTTGCTCATGGGTGAGCCAGGAAAAAAAATGGTTGGAGCATTTGTGTGTGTTTGCTGAAGAGAAAATAAGTAGCCATCTTCTTCTGCCTTTGTATGAATCCTAAGTAGTCCTATGTAGATGAAGGCTTTGTCCACAGTGGGGGGGACGTACTCCAAGTCTTCCCCTCACTGCCTTTTAACACAACATTTATCATCCTTCCCAGACAAACAATCATCCTACATCATGGACTTGCATCTAGCACACAATAATCACACCCCTCCCCAGCACCAGTTTCTTGTTGCTCGGATACTTTTCATCCAGTGAGGCAGCTTGTCAACGTCATCTCTTACTTAGAAACTCCCAACCTACATTTTAAGAAACTAAGCGGTTAAACAGAATGTACACAAAGTATTTCCCACATTTTGTTTTCTGCAAGTATATCCTTTATTTTGATTTTTTTTTTTTAAGTTTGACCCTAAAGGGAAAAGTTCAAGCAGCAAAGCCTTGTAATTTGCAAAGAAAGTTTCCCCTTCTAGGCAAATATAGTATTATCCTGTCCAAAACATTACAGGATGTAAGTGTTAGCTAATGCTAAGCTGCTACAGTTTGTAACAAGGGTAATGTTTCCAGTTGTTACTGACCCCACTTTTTTTTCCATGTAACTGAATTTATTCTTTTGATTCCAAAAATGTTAAAATTAGGTTTCCAAAAGTTAGATAATTCTTTATTTTTAATTTATTTATTTAGAGATTTATTTCCTTTGTTTATTCCTTTTAGTATTCTTGCCATTTGGTGCATTAGTTGAGTTTTCGCGTGATTTCATGACGTTATTACAAGACTTGTGGCACATCTCCATCAGGGTCTCAATAAAACAGCTGCGGCTCACAACCAGGCTGGGTGTGGGAGCCCATGCTACCGTCGCTGCTGCAGATGTCTCCTTGCTTGACATGAAAGTGGGAACTGGCCAGGTTCCTTTTTCCACATCTGTTGCTGAGCTGACCAGACTGGAGGGCGAGCTACCTCAGTTTCAAACCAAGAGATCTGTTTAAATCCCTTCCACTCCAACAGTGCTGTAGGAGGCACTTTAGCCTGCAGCTTCATTCTCAGGCTACGTTCACTGCAGGCAAATGCAACTCAAATCCAGCTTTTTCGCCCCATGTGACCCATTGCAGATTTTTTATGACAGTCTGAATGTGACAAATCAGATTTTTTTCAAATTCATCCCAGGCCTTTTCAGTATGTGGTACTGCATCAAATACATATCTGATGTTTTTCAAAGGGACCTCAGTCTGAACGCTCATGTTGCTTTACATCCATCTTTTCCATTTGTGAAGTGGGGGTGATGGATAAAGACACTAACCTCGAGTCATGCTGTTTAAATCTGTAGCTCCATGTCTTCAGCTACAGAACAGAAGTCCAACTGCTTTATCTTTTCTCTTTTAATTTTCCATGTCCTGGATGACTGAGAGTCCACAGAAGAATATGATAGCAATGTGCAACGTCATTCGCTGACTGTATTGATGCTAAAAGTCACTCGATGAATACTTTTCTTTTAACACATTGCTACATTCCAAAAGTAAAACGCTGCACCGGAACAACCAGTCAGAGGCAGGTTCATATATAAACGCTGAACTAAACAAGCATGTCAGATATCTATTTAATCGGCTCTGATTGAAAAACAACCTAAGAATCGACATGCTAACAAATAGCATCCATGTCTAGCCAATTCTGTAAACAGCCAGCAGAATGTGACGTCACATCTTTCTGTGCATGTGGGTCACATCAGCGCCGTGGAGAGTTCCCACTGGAGTCTGATGGAGGTCGCATTTAAAATATGTGACCATTCACTCAAAAAAAATTGGATTTAAAAAAATAATTTAAAAAAATAAGACCTGCAGTGTGAACGTAGCCATACTCACTCTGGACTATAAACCTGATCCTTCCTATAAAACTCTTACTCCGGCCGCTGTAGAGCGGAATGTTTCAAATTTTGCCCTGCACGAAAAATAACATTTGTTGGGGATTTAATCAAGAACCTGAAACTCCCAAGTACTTATTTGTATATAAATGTAAATATTATTGAATACACGTCACTTCTTTGCACTATATAGTTGCCAGCGTGGGTTTTAACAAAGTATCACCAACCTCCATAAGTCGAACATAGATTTTCGGGTATTTAGGAGAAATTTTTGTTACACTTTAGAGAACAACTAAAGACTAAAACTTGCATAACAATTTTGAAGAAAATGTGCCAATTTAAAGTTGAAGACTCACTGAATTTGAAGTTTCGATGTATTTTAATGATGTTACACTAACAAACTCTGCCAGGAACTCGCAATTTTTTTGGGTGAATGTCGTAAGACTGTCTCGCAAAAGTCACGCAACAAAACTTTTTCTTCAGTCATATTTTTCCTTCTTTTGCCTTTTTTTTTGGCAATTGTCATCCAACCATTGTGCAATGGTGGGGCAACATTATGTATAACATAATGACATGTATGACATAAGAAATTAGAAATACGATTTCCCTCTACACAGCTGGATGTTTTGTAACTGACCTGCTTGCATGTGGGACATGATGTGAGACTCTTATTTTCATCTCCAAATGGGCATTACAAAGTTACCACCTCTGCATACAGTTGCTTGAAATTATTAATACACCCTCTGACAACATCTGAGCAACTACTGTTTGCAATTTGGTGCAACGTACAGGACTGTAGCTGCGTTTTCATTGCAAATGTGCGCAAAACCTTGTCAATATTAAAAAGAAAAAAATTGTATAGGTCTTCTGGACGGGTTCTTCTCTAATGAAACGTTTCGTCTCTTCTCCAAGAGACTTCTTCAGTCTGAGAGTTTCAGGCAAAATTCAGGCTTTTAAGCACTGCTTCCATGTGACTGATACTCACATCACATGGCTATCGTTGACACCTAATTAACACCTATTGTTAACAGGGGGTGGAGTGATACTGGCAATAGCAGCACTGTAGGAGGGGGACAACTGAAAACGGAGGTCTCCACCTCTGTTTAATGATGGACGGTCTTTCTTCACAAAAATGGCTTCTTTTACTCCTCTCTCAAACCAACGTTCCTCTCTATCAAGAATGAGAATGTCAATATTCTTTTAAAGTAAAAAAAACAGTTTCACAATTACGGTGTTTCCATTAATTAAGAAATGCTATTAAATTCACGTGTGGATTACGTTTGTTCTCGTGATAAGTCATTACAAACATGGAGGCAATGGATGTAAACACAGCATATTGCTACCGCGACACTAGTGCTCATCATCAGCCATCAGAGGACACGTCGGCATCTTATCGAGGCTTTCGAGCGACAAGCCCCTTATATTTGGGAGGGGCTACGTATGCTGTGTTTATGGGAAATTGTAGTCGGTGAGTTTAATACTTTCTTTTACTACTTTTGTGATTTTACTACTTTTACTTCCTGTTATCTTCTTCTTCGTCGTGTTTTTCACCAGTAGTAACAGCCGGTTCTTGATCACGTAACTCCCGTGATGCGAAAAAAGTGTTTCCATTGCAGTTTTGTGAAATACACCAATTTCGATACGGCCGAAAAACCACCTCATCATAGTGAAAAACCATTTTGTTGAAAAACATTATTTTTTTCCGAAATTGACATGTTTCCATTGAGCAAATTTATTTTCGAAATTCTAATTTGCACATTTTCATGGTCAGTGGAAACGCAGCTACTGTCTTGAGAAAAGCCTGGACTCTAAAGGCCTGTTTTCATAAGGAGTGATTTAGCGGAGCCCTTTCCCAGCCCCCCACCTCTTACACTCTCCAAAGGGTGAACAGGTGCATTAAGAAAATACAAAGAGATGATGAAGGTTTACCAAGAGCACACAAACCCTGAATGACAGGGCATTTCTACATCATCCTGTAAACTGCACTTTGAGCATTTATGTTTTCTGCGCACTTTGTTTTGTTCAAGTAACACTACAGATCATTTCCTCCATGTTTTATTCAAACTAACTGCCCTTTTTCCCACACCTTAACCTTGGCTCTTCCAGCTTACTGGCCTGCACCCCTTATTCCACTTAATAGGAGCGCTAGCTTTAGATTATTTTGCTTACCGTTCTCAAATGGAACAAAATCCTCCAATTATGTTTGGTCATAGAAATAAAGAGCAGCTAAAGCAGCGACCACAAAGCAACACAAGAGTGCAAATCAGCCCTGATGCAAATGTCATACGTCTTCTGGGGCAACACAGACCGTCTTGTCTTTATACCAACCCCCAACCACAACACACTTCTCTGTGCAATCTGAATCCCCCGTTTTGCCAACAGCTCTGCACTCGAACAGACAAACAGCAGAAAACATTGTGCAGAGAATGCAACCACATACTCAATCCTCTCCTCAACACCCTTTACAATTCTTAGAAAAAAAACACTTACTTGTCAGTCATAGTATCTGTCAGCAAAAGTTGATTCATTAAATCTTCTAAATATTTTCTTCTTCAGATTCAGAAATGGCTGAAGGAGTTATCCAGCACTGGTGCCAGGACACAGACCTGTAAAACATGCAAAAAATGAAGATTGTTTATTTTACTAAGATCTGCATGAAAAATCTTATCACAGCATGGAAAATAATTTAGCTGTTTCCTAAAACTGGCTTAATTTTGTTGTCAATTAAATCAATCAACTTCAAACTGCTGATGAGGAACTAATTTAATTTAGTTTGTTTTGTTTATTGTTTTTTTGTGACAATTACTGCAGGTTTATCAAAGCAAGGGAAATAAAAATGCATAAAAACATTAAACAAACCACTGCTCAGGCTCACGTCTGTTTATGCAGACAGATCACTTCTTTACAAATCAGCCTAAAAACCTTCTGCTTTCTGGGGGACACCATCACCATAGTTACTGAGACAGCCCACCAGCCAGTCAGCCATCATAAACAGAGAGCACCAAGAAATCCTCTGGCTAACGAGATCATGTGAATCAAGTTGAGTTGACCCTTATTCAGCATGAAATGTGAATGTTTTTTCAATTAGCACTATTAAATAACGCTAACCAGCAGACTGACTTCACCCACAGCATTTAGATTCTGAAATTTTAACAATCACATGTGCCGATGAACAAACTCCAAACCTAGCATTACCTCCTCAGCTCATCTGCCTTTAAAAGATTATGACAGCAGCACATTAGATTAATAGATTATACCCTGTTTAGTGTTAAACACACTGGCACAACACAGACTGCGACCTGCCAGAGAGGGATTTGCTCATATAACCAGATAAACATTAAATAGGAATTCACAGTCAAGCACATCTAACAGAGACATGGAGAACAGAAGGATGAAGGTAAGGCCTGGACCACACCCAAACCGGTCAGCCCCAAAGCCAGACACAAGAGAGCCATCGGCACCGAGGTCAGAAGCAGCCAGTCTCTGTTTGGAGGCCATGGCAACGTTTTTTTTTTTTTTTGACATCTGCTGTTCATCTCTCATTACCATTTCATCTTTTCAAATGTTCTTTTTAATCTACCGTTCCAGGTTTTACTGCACAAGCTGTACATATCTAAGCATTTGTAATGATCAATTTAGAGGACTTTTTTTGTCTGTACCTTCCTTGTTAATTGGATGCATTGCCAATCAGGAAATATGCACAAATCAAATGTAATTTGCAAAAATAAATATCTATAACATCAATGTTATGTCTCGAGTCAGCCCTGAATTAATTTTACATGAAAACCATCTTGTGCATTTTGTGATGATTCTTGTCATGTTACCCTGCAAAGCCAAAGAGAAAAAAAATCACCTTTCTACACAAAGTGTTGGGTGCAGCTTTTAGCACAGTCCTGAATGTGGTGCATGATGAGGAGCAGTGGCTGAGCTGCAAGGCATTTTCAGCTGGTGGTAACAAAATAAACTGGGTCACATTTGCCAGAAGACTGAGAGGTTTCTGTTGTTCACGTGAGAGAGTGGCACAAATAAAGGTCTGCTCAGAGCAAGAAGCACAATGCTCTATGATGAGAAGTGCTAGGGCTTGAAAAGATGCCAGCTTGCATTTAGCAACATGTACCCAAAGTGCATAAATACATATTTACCAGTTGAGAAGACCTAATGCTGACATTGTGGAGGAACATCTGAATGTTTTGAGCGTAAAGGTATTGCATGGTTTCTTCACTGATCTGAGGAAACCCAGGTGATCTTTCTGACACACTCCTATTCCTGCTATTTTGATCATCAACTCTGCAATTTCACACTTCGGTTTAAAAAGCAGTGACACTGCACTGTGCTACTTTAAAACAATGACAAGAATTTCCCATCAATAAAACAACACAATCTGCATATTTCTGTGGTCCAACGGTAACAAGTGTCCTTGCTCTTTTCGTTTTTTTATTTGCGATTTATTCAGTCTGTTTTATGAAGGTTTTTTTTAACATTTGCATTTTTAATCACACACAACCAATTCAGTCCAAAGTTTCTAGGCTCTAAGTGGTTCATCTCAGCAACGAAGGAGCATAGATGAGAAGTAAATGGTAAAAAACAACAAAAACAATGTGATTTGATTTGATTTGATTTATTTATTTAACAGGAAAAGATTATTAAAAATCAAGCCCGACTCAGCATAATTGCTGTTTTACAGYAGGTTCCTGTTCTGCAGCACATAAACACTCAGAATTACAGCATCACAATCACATCATTATACACCATAGACATAAAGACAAGCAAGCATACCAAATTTCAAAAAGGCAGCATTTGCAAAATAGGACGTCTAAATATGAGCACAACAAAAAGTGTCCAGCAGATGGCAGACAAGATTCTTCTTAAAGGGCTGTAGTTTTGAAATGGACTTTATGAGCCTAACTATGGGTTCTAAGATTTCATTTGCTGTAAGAGACCAAACAGGTAAACAGTACGGCATGGTTGAGAGTATAATGG